AATAGCACTGCAACAGCTAACAGGGTTGATCATTTTTCTTTTAGCTTGAACAGTACTACAAATCAAAGTTTTTACAGGCAGTCTCCTCTTCCACAGGAAAAAAAATTACTCCAATATAACAAATAAAACCAAATGCCCACAAACCAGAAAAAGTTACAAATGAAATGCCTCCCTCTCTCCAGTCAAGCTATTCTACATACCTCAAAGCATAACTCGTCCTTCCAAACCAGGGTCTTCCTCAAACCCATCACTGTTCCTTTTAGTCAGATATTCTCTTCCTCCTCTGCCCAGTTATCTGGGTCTACTTGAGAAGGAACAAATAATCTCTGGTTTCGTATCCTTTCAAACGAGCTTCTTGCCTGAGAAGCTGGGGGTTTCAGTCATTTACTTACAAGTGTAGTAGTTATGCTGTAGAAAACACACAAGAGACGTGACACTGTCCTGAAAACCTTCCAATCCAATTCGGATTATTAGATTAATAGCAACTGCAGCATAAGACCAAGGGCTTACTTATTCAACTTTACTTGTTGCAACTATAGCAACAAATGAATAAATTTTAGAGTGGTAGTATTTCCTAAGTCTACCATCAAAGGTAAAGAAAAAGGTTTCTCAATTTTAGAGAGAAAAAACTGGATTGCTTGTTACAGTCAGACTACAGAAGTTTAAGTACTTGATGCAAATAAGAACAAGACCAATTCTTGCAAGAGATTAAATTGTGTTTATATTTCATTTCCAGATATTTATAACAAGATATTAACCACACTTTTTCAGTGTGTCAAATTTTATGTTATTGTTTTTAAAAAGAGCTGTGGTGCTTTCCAACAGTTTCGTATCTGATACAAGCAAGCAACAAAGTGCATTTGATGACACTTTCAACAGTATTTACTATTCAGTTCTGGCACTGTGAGCAAAATGTTTCCACTGCAACTGGTTTACCCTCCTTTTAATTAAAAGGTAGACTGCACAGTTAATATAGTAAAAATAATTAGGATATTAATTACACTCAGTGTGGCAATATTTAATCTCTCCTGTCATAACTACATGGCGAGACAGTTTAAAAACATGTTGCAGCACAAGCATAAACAGTTCTAGGTGTTGAAAGACATTCAGGCTCAGTCTTACAAAAGCATTTCTGTGCAGGAGCACAAAACAAATTCCCCACTGATAATCCTTTAGGCATCCAGCTTTGTGCCCTAAATTTCCCTAGGTATCTACTCTCTGCAGGGATGAGAACTCAGACCCATGTCCCATCATAACACCCTCTCTAACACACTCTGCCTCTGGCCTTGTGAGTGCCTCTGCAGCAGTACAATTTCAAAAGGAGGTTTACGGAGCGTGTCTCCCACTCCATTGCAAAGCCCTGATGGTCAGCACAATATTCATAGAATCACAGAATCGTTGAGCTGGAAAAGACTTTTAAGATCAAGTCCAACTGTTAACCTGACACTGCCAAGTCCACCACTAAACCATGCCCCTAAGCACCACATTTACATGTCTTTTAAATACTTCCAGGGACAGCGACTCCACCACTTCCCTAGGCAGCCTCTTCCAGTGCTTGACAACCCTTTCAGTGAAGACATTTTTCCTAATATGCAATCTAAACCGCTCCTAGTGCAATTTGAGGTTGTTTCCTCTTGTCCTATCACTTGTTACTTGGGAGAAGAGACCAAGCCCCACCTTGTTACAACCTCCTTTCAGGTAGTCATAGAGAGCAGTAAGGTCTCCCCTCAGTCTCCTTTTCTCCAGGCTGAACAACCCCAGTTCCCTCAGCTGCTCCTCATAGGACTTGCGCTCTAGACCCTTCACCAGCTTTGTTGCTCTTCTTTGGACACACTGCAGCACCTCAACATCTTTCTTGAGGTGAGGGGCCCAAAACTGAAGACAGTATTCGAGGTGAATACTGTGGTGTGGGTGTTAATGAAATGTGGACTTTATTCCTCTCTGGCTATGGGCAGACCAACACCCGAGTCCCAGCATTCAGCATGATCTTTACTGAGAAAGCTGACTGTCCTAATCCAATTTCTCAGATCATCAACTCTTCTGGCTACTGCTGAAATGCTAGTAGAACACTGCAATTGCAAAGAGGACATGCGTGCACAAGAACTAGGTGGTTGGCTGAATCAGTTCTGTGTATGCTTTGCCTGGCCTATTTTATTTTGTTGTTCCAGCCCAGGAAGCCCTTCAGCCACGCAAAAGGCTTCTTTAGACACTGCCACAATAATTAGTGCAGTGGCAGCGCATAGCTGCACCACTTCCTCAGTTGGTCAAGTCCAAGGTGAGCCTATATATCCTCCAAGTTGCTCTGTAAGAAGTTATCTTGAATACCAGAGCTAACAGCAAAGCCACTGGTAGTGTCCAATTACTTGCACATGGTTTTTTTT